GGGCGGCCCGAGGGCCAGGTAAGGGCCGCGGGGCTGGGGCACCGGCTCTCCTTAATGACCGGCAATTAAGCTCGTTGCGCCGGCAATGAGCTTAATGAGCAGCCCCAGCCAGGGATAACGATCCTGTCGCCTCTCTCAGGCCTCGGGTGGAGGCCACGGTTTTGCCTCGGGTGCCTTCGGGGGGTTGGGGTGAGATTCGGGTCAATGGGCCGCTGCTTGTCCTGGCCCCAGTGTGGCCCTCGGGTCACCTGGGTTGTAAAAGCACCTGGCAAGCTGTCCTGAGAGCAGGGGCAGGCAGGTGTCCCTTTTGTCAGTGTACCACGGAGGGGTTCCTGCTTCCTCCCTGTTCCTAGGCTGTTGGCACTGAGCTCCTTCACCGCTGTCCCTGCTCCTTGTCTGAGCTGCCATGGGTGAACCTGTGAAGTTGATGTTTCTGCCTATGTCCGTGGTCAGGTTTCTTCGTACCGAGTGCTCAGAAGAACCTTAAAAATCTTTGCTGTCGTTGTTCAAGAGGTTATGCCAAGAAACGTCTAAGGAGGTGGTTCTGAGAAGAGAAAGAGGTCTTTGTGTCTGGCTCTTGCACCTTCAGAAGCTCAGGCATTACAGATTCTATGTCTGCTGTTCCCAGTCAGCTAAACTCCCTTCTATTTAAGGTTATGTTTACCTGAAAGTGAGACAAAATGCTGCTCCGTCTGGTCTCTTGCTGTACGAACGGTGGGGGAAAGGGCTGAGCTGGCAGCTTCCAAATGGTCACCGTGGAGGCCTTTCTTTCCCTCCAAACCTCACTTTCATTCCAGGTCTTTTCTTTGGCAATCCCAAGTTGCTGTCAGGCCTTTGCTAGATGCTTTAGAAATAGACAACAATTTAATTTCTCTTGGAGAAATGTTCCTGTAGATGGTTTAAAACTTGCAGGTGTCCCTCTCTTTCTCTGCTGTAGATACAAGGTACATATACGAGACTTTGGAATGTGTTTTCTGATGTAAACACATACTGGTGCTTGCATAAAAATAAGTAAAAAGCCTTCTCAAATCAAACCACTCAGCTGAAAAGGCTATTCCTGAATTGAGGCAGAGGGTGAGTCACAGAGTGGATGACACGTGGAAATATCAGCTTCTTCACACAATGACTGAAATGAGCTCAGAGGCAATGAGGAAGATGGTGGAAAAAGAAATTATATAGAACATAGCCAGCTTCTGCCTTGCTTAATTCCTGACCCTTTCCATCAGGATATTTAACAGCAGTGGAAACTGTTGCTGCTTAACAAGATCCACTTATTGTAGTAGCATAGTTTCCTGCCTCTGTCTCTTTCCCCTACAATGCATTTGGTTCTCTTAATCCCACGAAAAACAAATGAGAAAGTCTTAGAAGCAGCCTGGCATCCCCTTGTACTTCCATGAGGATTCTCCCACCTGGCTGGTGTTGTTGGAGTCCCTTTTTTATTAACAACAGTTTAAGAAAGAAACATTAAGGCAGAAAGAAAGCTCATTATTTTGGCATTCCACTAATATATATAAAAAACAGGATGGAGTGAGATGCAATTATTTTAGATCTTGTTCCCCCCAAATTAAACAACCACATTTTTGTGTGGGCACATGCAACTGAAATGCTGCTGATAGTCCACTCAATTTTTTTTTTTTCTTTCCAGACAGAGGCAGATACATGGTTTTGGTTCTATTATTCTTCTCTCTAGTCTAGTAACATTTTACCTTCCCAGGTTTTGGGTTTGTTTGTTTGTTTGTTTGTTTGTTGCTTGTTTTGGTTTGGTTTCTTTTATTTGTTTGGGGTTTTTTTTAAGTAGCAGAAATCACACAGACTCAAACATTCTGACACAATCAGGGGGGTTTATTTTTTGGAAACATATCTCAGCTGGGAAAGTATAATGCTTCTTTATTATTCTCTTTATTACTTCCCTTGCTGTGTTCTTTCTGACCTGTCTTCTACTATTCAGTCTCTCCTACTGTAAAGCAGTTTGTGCTTTTTGTTAAACTTGTTCAGACTCCTTAACCTGTTTTTGTCCTCAGCCAGCCATTTAATAATGTGTCTTGTAAGTCATAAATGTTGTGGCTGAGGCTGCAGAAAACTAATTTAAGACAGGTGTTACAAGTTTGTACAATTAACTGTTTTTTCGCTTGGCCAGCTTGAGTATGATAGAAACAGAAGCCTCTGCAAAACAAAAAGTTATGACAATTGTCAGATAGTCAATGCTGACACAGTGGACCAAAGTTTTGCCTGTATTTTTGTTTTGCTCATTTTAATAAGGTGACACTTAGCGTCTTGATAAGTCACTGATTTTTGTTCCGTTCCTTATTCCAAGGACCTTTGTTATCCCCAGTGCTATTTTTCCTCTACTGTATTTGTAATACACAACCTTCCCTGTCTGGAAGGAATTCTTCCTGTGGCTTGTATTGGGTTGGTTTTGCAGGTCCAGGGAGCAGTTCGCTGTCTGCGTTCCAAGGCATAGCTATAAAAGAAGTTGAGAGTACCTTGGGAACAAAAGATAGCATCAGCCCTGTAAAGCTGGAAGAAGATGGAAGATACTGCACCCTGCAGACAACTGGGTCAACGTCTCAAGACTCAGTGGCTCTTGACAGCCAGTTCAACCTGGCCTCAGTGTGTGGGCAACCATCGAATTTCCTCAGTGATGCGAGAGCCGTGCCCCTACTCTCTGTGGTTGAACTTGTGCAGGAGCCCACGGGTCAGTCAGGATCACCCAACCAGTGTGAGAGCTGCTACTCTGACGGGATTGAAAAGGAGGCAAAGAAGAAAAAAAGGAACAACAGAAGTGGAATATGTGCTGAGAAAGCAGCCAGTGGAATCCCGGGAGACCTCTGCAGGCAGGATGTGCGTGGCCCAGCCGCTCGCCGATCGTTCAAAAGTGCCTCCTCGGCCAACGCTGCAGCTCAGCAATCCTACAAGGTGTCTTCAGCTCTGGAATCCAAAAGTAGCCATGATGGGCCAAAGAGGAAAAAAGAGTTATTTGAGAATCCAGATTTTTTTCCACCAGTCAGGAAGAAGTCACGCACCTTCTATAGTGCAGGTAGATACCGGGGAACCCACTGGCAGACAGTGACACCTGTAGTGCCAGTGGTGCTGATGTTTCCTTCACCTTACTGAAGGCACAGCATGGAGGTGCTGAACTGCTCTTACTGGTATTGCAGTGCCTCCTACACTATTAGATGTGTGAGGGCTTCCTCAAGTAAAGGTTGCTGAGTGCCTTATGTTTGAAGCATTGCTAGCCATGCTCTGTTTTACTGTGGAATATTTTTTGTTATTTCTGTGGTTTACTTTAAAAAAATACCTTTTATGTTGTTACTGTATTTCTGAATATAGTAAAACGAGTATAGCAAAAATGTTCTGTTTTGGTTTTCCCTTGTCTTGTTTATTTTGGTAGGGTTTTTTTTGGGGGGGTTGGGTTGTGGTTTTGGGGGGGGTTTTTTGTTGTTTGTTTTTTCCTCTTGTTTGTTTGGAGTTTGTTTGTTGTTTTTGTTGTGTGTGTTTTGTTTAGTTTTGTCACATACTCCCCATTTCTTTCTCTTTGAACAACGCTTCATTTCTAGAGCAGCTAAATGAGTTGGAGAAGATGTTCCAGGAAGACCACTACCCTGACAATGAGAAGAGGAGGGAGATTGCAGCTGTGGTTGGTGTAACACCACAGCGTATAATGGTAACGTCTGTGTGGGTAACAATCTTGACTCTGGGCTCTGTGCAGAAAACTGATGGAGAGGGACTGGGGCAGGGAGGTGGAGCTTGAGCAGGAAGGAGAGAGGAGTTAATAGGTAATGAGATAGAGACAACACCATCCACTGGTGACAGGAGAAGGAAGAGGGCCCACAGGGATGGACACCACACAATTACCTACTGCATCCAAAATGTCAGTGGAATCTGCAGCCGTGTATTCCATCTCTTCCCTAAGAGGTGGGATTTCCTAGCATGAGACTTATAATGGGTAGGAAAAAGAGGCTAAGGATATTGGAGTTAATGTCTTTTGTCTTGAAGATAATGGGAAACAAAGGAAATCAGTGTTTGTGGGTACCTGTTAATCTCTGTTTGGAATGAATCTTGCAGATGCTCTAGAAGAAAGGTTTCTCCACGTTCCATTCTCTGGAAGGAAAGTTTCCCACTGGTGATGTGTGAAGGCAGCAATTATGGATTTGTTTCCTGTGTCCCCATGTGTAGAAGGCTTCCTCTCTGAATGTATCCATTGTTTCTATTTACCAGGTCTGGTTTCAGAATCGCAGGGCAAAGTGGCGGAAATCGGAGAATTTGAGTGTGAAAGGCAACAAAAAATATCCAACATCTTCAACTCTGTCCGTCCCCTTTGGGTCAGATGGTTATGGGTGAGGGACCCTGTTTTCTCATTTCTTCACAACAGATATCAAATTAATTAAATATTTTCCTTTGCCATTTCCCCTTTACTTTTAAGCTACAGAGAGCTGACCATTGAGTTGGACCTTTGTAGCCTCTCAGACTCTTGGGCAAATTGTAGTGGACCCTCTTAAAAGCACTTTTGATTAAGCTGTAGCACTGTTTTGAAATAAAACTGTTGAAATCACTCTGGCTGAAGTAACATAGAGAGAAAGGGACAAGACAGAAAGGTCTGTGGAATCACTCCTTCCATTTTCAGTTTCTGTGAATGCATTGGCTAGGTGCTTTGTGTGCACTTGGGAATTCTTTTAACCCAGTCCTTCTCCCATCATTGCTTTCCATTTCCATGGATTTTCACTTGGCAATGGAAATGCTGATTGCTTAGTCTTACAAAGTCATAGGCTTCTTTGAAGAAATAAAAGCTAACATCTCTTGCAGGTGAGCAGGGGATATTTATTGAGGGACGTGGAAAGAGACTGTGTGATAGGATAGACGGTCTTTCAAGGAGGAGTTAATGAGTGAGTGAGGGAAGAAATTAATCTCCAGAGGGAGATAGATATGGCAATCTAGAGTGAGAGTCTTCCTGTGAATAAAACTGAATGAAATGAAAAATTAAGTGAAAGATTGGATACCACCTGCCTCTTTGCACTGCACTGTCCCTGCTGCCTGTCCTTTCCACACTAGTGACCTGGGGCTCCTCCCACAAGTACTGTTGATACAGCATCTCTTGCACTCTTTCTCCTTGCACTCATAAGTCAGCCAGTGCTTTCCCTTTCCTCCTGCTAGTGATCTAGGATTTGTCCATTGTAGGATAGTTAGCAGAGTGTATACTTTGTTGTCATGTCTTGTCCTCTGGTCCATGCTCATACCCTTTGTGTACCTCCAGGGCACCTGTTCTGCCCGTGCCTCCACTGCCTGACATGGCTCATGACCAGTCTGCCATACTGAGTGTAGACACTACAGCTGGGAACTACTCCAGCCTGCTCAGTGGACATCCTGCACCACCTGGCTCCTCCTCAGGTGAGACCTCTATCAGCACAAGTATTTTGCATATCTGCAGCATTAGCTGATGGTGCTGATAGGTCCCCAAACACTTTAGGGAAAGTCATGTGAGAGCCCTATGGCATCAGTCCAAAAACTGACACTGAGTTTAACAGCTCTTTGCTAACTGAGCATCTACCAGGTATGTAGCAGCCTAGCAGTGCCTCCATACTAATGCTGGAGTCAAATTTGCAGTCTTTATTCATGTCCTGGTACAAGCCAGCAAGCAATTCTGAATGTGACTCTGTAAGGGTACGTGATCGGGGCATTCTTCTGTAATAGCTGCTTTATACTGGTACTGCTTCTCTGAATTATTATGGAAGTATTAATCTGGTTATTGTGCTCTTCATGGCAGATCAGCACATCCCATATTCTGGTTTAGACTGTAACATTCTGGCTATGATGTGTAGCCAAGTGAGCTGTGTGAGGAAGTGTGCTGTACACACTGTTGGGGTGGTAGAACCTCCCTCGGGCACTCCACACCTTTAAATACCCAAGGGAGGTTCCTTGAGTTCTCCAGCCTGTGTAATATTCCATTTTGTGCAAGACCTTGAGGGAGTGATGCTGGCTGAGTCCTTAAGCATACAGCCTGTTTTAACGGCAGTTGTAGTGTTGTTGAAAGTCAGCGGGTTGTGCTGTTGGACCAGTTTTCTACCTGAGCTGCATCCAGACTCCACAGATTGATGGCAGCCAAAGAGAGAGGATTTCTTCAATTGTGTACTCATGTGTGGAGTATCAGAGCATTCCCTAGAGTCAGGAATGTTCCCTAAAGCGTTTCCTATGTATGTTTACATTTTGAAGTTGGCACGACTTGAAAATATTTCCATAGTGATGAGGATTTCACCACTTCCTTAGAGACAGATATCCCAAGCAACAGATACGCAGACGTGTCGTGCGTATTTTCCTGCTTCCCAGTGCAATTAATTCTTTTGAATTACATGCCATCGTTTCTGCCCCCTCATTGTATTCTAAATATACAGGGTTATCAGTATCAAGAGCAATTCTGTGTAAGCCATTTTCTGATAATGACTCAAAGACTTTAATACATTTTTAATAGTGCTGATACCTTGAAGTATTTTGGCACTGTAGAAAGCAACTATAGGATTGTGTTGTTAAGCTTAGAATACTAATAAATAAATATGTATGCTAAAAGTACTTAATACTTTATACTTTATTGATACTGTAATTTAGCAGTTCTATCATTTAAATTTGCCTGTTGTTGTCTCAAGGCAAGAACTACTTTAGTCAATTCTAGAAGCTGTTTAACCGGTAGGACTGTAATTCAGGTAGTTCCAGTTTTTCCACTTCTTCTTGCAGCTCAGTAAATATGCTCAAAGTGTTTGAATAATTCACTGTTTCCCAGAAAGATGAAAGGGTGCTGTTTGTTGAGTCCTGTATTTAATTAGATAAAGACTAAGATTTTTCAAAATAATGCATTTGAGGGAAACAAATAAAAATCCTTACATTTTTACACTTGTATTTAGAACTCTCCTGGTTCTTAAAGTGCATCTGCAGACACCCTAATAAGTCAAGACAGAATATGTCTGTTAGAGAAATGAAGTTTCATTCAGGGATGTGATCTTGTCATGTGTCTATATGGAGCACTTTCTTTTTGAGGAATCTGCAGGCTGAGGTGCAATTCTCTGTGTGGAAAACACAAGTAGGTTTTCTGATAGGAAAGAAATGTCCCAACTGAATCCTTTGGACAGTGTGTAAGGAAGAAAAAGGGCAAGTGAGTGTCCCTGAAATTGGACTGGGTGTGTGAGAAAATGAGCTATAAAGATAGCTGGTTTTCACACCTTGCATCCTTTGAACTTGCTGCTGACTGCCACCTATTGCATTTACTGTGTATGCACCTAGCTTTTATAAAACACATGCTTCCTTTGCTTGTCTGAAATGCCTGGATTTTCCAGTGTTATGGGTGTGTGAGGATTATTAGAACACACTCCATTCTGCTAAATCACGTGAGCAAACAAGCTTCCCCTTGTTCTCTTTAAATCGTGCTGGGCAAGAAGTAATGAAATCTGCTCGTGTCACGTGTCATCTAAGACTGGTAAATAGTTTCCAGATACAGATCTGTCTGGGAAAAAAAAAAAAAAAAAGGTACCTTTTCTAAATGACTTTTCAGAGAAGAGGCATGCTTTGCTGATGTACACAACTGTGAGGTTTGGTGATTGGTTTTTAACCTGGTTTCCTGAAGGAAGGAAGAAATGTGTGTAATGAGCTACACATTCCCTTTATTTATGAAACCCACCCTGCCCTCCACATTTAATTGCATGTAAGACTTCCACCTTCTGTCAAAAAATTGCATTCCTACAAGTCATGGGAGAACTGGTGCCTGGGCAGAGTAGAGACCTAAGTTAGTGCTCCCTCTGAGGGAAAAGGCTGCTCCTAGGCATAGAGGGTCCTCATAGAAGAGAGATCTGCGTGGCACAATCCCACAAAAGGCTTCAGTCAGAGTTTGCCTTACTAGATGCAGGAGAACACAGCCATGGGGAATGAAACTTGCTCTTTTTGCTATCTATCATAGGGTAGGCAGACTTTTCTCTTTAAGAATGAAAGCAGAAATGAAGTGGAGGAAAAATGAAAGACGATGCAACTTTAATTAATTCAGCCTCCTTGTTCAGAGAAAAAGCTTGCCAGCAAATAAGGCCATCCAGGGCCCACCTGTTTTTTTTATTAGACTACCTCAGAAGATGAAGGAGATAAAACTTGGACAGGATAAAATCCAATGTCACAGAAACAAAATAAAACAGGGAGCAAATGAGTTTAAAAGTTCATCAATTTACAAGGCAAAACCAATGGCTTGGTAGAAGTGGCCCTTGGGGACACAGCTCGTGGCAGGTTTCCACAAAGTAAATTGTGACCTGTGCATAATGTGCAGTTGTATCCAGAGACTTAGGCCTAACCAAGTGGCTATTCAGGTGCTTTCCTTGGTAGCCATGTATTTAATGAGAACAGTACCATCTGTTACCTCTCACCTTTGCAGAGTGTTCAGTGCTGCCTCTTCCACTGGTTTTCCTTGCTCTAGACTGGTTCTGTCTGTTTTGCACAATTCTCCAAACAAGCTGATTAAAAATGCCAGCAAGCTGTATTTGAGATGCACTCTGCCTTGCTGCCATTTATGGTTTCTGATTTTGGTGTTAGCCATGCTACGTGCCCTGAGAGCTTTTAGTGCTTAAAAAATTCAGTCTTGAGCTTGCTTTGATCTTAGAATAGTTTGGGTTTTTTTACTACTTTTGCTGTACAGATTACTTGCTTTGAATTAATGGAGGCTTTTTTTGATATCTACATTTATTTAAAGATTTTCTTTTTTGTCTGAGGTATCCTACTAGGTGTATGTATGTGTATATATATATATATCTGCAGTTCATTGATTTAGAACATTGGCTTATGTTTTCTTTAGAGCTGACCCCTTAGAAAGAAAAGTTACTTCCTATGCTTCTGGTTTGCAAGGAGATTTTTTTGCCTCAATGGTGCTTTTGCAAGAAATAGTTAGTTTCATGTGGCTGTCTTGCTGATGGTGTTTCAGGAGCCCAGCCTGTATTGGTAGCTCTTATGCAAATAGCAAGAAATTTGGTGGCAGAGATGGGATTGTAATGGAAGTCTTGGGAGCAATTGCATGAAGCTGGACATAATCTGTCAAAGAAAAGTAAATAAATTACAAGCTCTAATGATTTCACTTATAGGATTCTGGCTTTTGAACAAATCACTTTGAAGCTGATGATGTATAGCTGACAGGGCAAGCAAAAGTCTTACCTTTCAAATATGTGATGGATTCTGGCCTACTGAAGATCCATAAAAGGATCAGATCGACACACTTCTCAAAGCAATACAGTTAGGGACTGAAGCTGGTTTACTGATCTTCAGTCCCTTACTTGATGACTGCCATTGGTCTTCAGTTTGATGAATATTTTACCTACTTTCAAGATGTTGTTTACAAGAGAAATGTGTTTTATCACCATTTCAAGAAAAGGATGTATCTGTGAAAAGTTTTGTGATGGCTTTTAATGCTTCAGTAAATGCTGTAATTGACATCACGTATACATGTTTCATAAAAAAACCAACTGGATTGGGTAGTGTATGATGTAGAGACTCACAGTAATATAGCCTTTTGCTGAGCTCTTGATTGGATACTTGAGAAAGCAGCCCTAGCACGCAGACCATCTGAGGTTAGACTGGTTGCTTGGGTTGTAAACAACATCAGCTGCATAGTGCTTGTCAACATAATAAGGGCTTGACTAAGAAAGTCATGTGTGGCTGATGTCAAGAGAAGGGGCTCCAATGCATGAGGATGTCAGTCAGGTAACAAACCTTGTGCACATGATCTGGTCTGTTAGCAGCAGTGAAAGCAGCTTCCTAGAATATTTTAACACCATATTTTCAGAGTTGAAACCATGGCCTTCTGTAAACTCAGGAACACCTCTCTAGGACAGGCTTCACTCTCCTTTAGGACTGGTGAAAGGCTGCAATCACAGTCATCTCAACAAAAATATACACATTCGTTTCTGTTAATTTAAGACTGTCCCATTCATTGGAATCAATTTGTATTGAAGAATAGGTCTCTCAACTCTACTAGGATGTTGAGGAAGCAGTTGTGGTAGGGGGAAGACAGCTGTGTAACTGAAGACTTAGAACAGCCATTCTTGAGACAAGTGTAATGCCAGGACTGGTTCAGAGATCCAAAGCAGCAAATTATTAAATTGCTCTCCAGAAATTCCCAAGGCTGTCTCATGGACTGAAAACACAAAATAATGAAGTGATAAAAAAATCCTACTGTTAGATTCCCATTTTCACTGGTAGGCCTTCTGAGGTTATTTATCTCTACGACATGTCAGGAAAGCAACAAAATTGTAAAATGGAAGTGTTATCTCCAGGCAGTGACCAGAATTCATCATTGCACAAGGTGCTGAAATCTATAAATATAGTGTCAGATTTAGCAGGTATTTCTTCTTTGGGAATTGTTTACTCTTACCACATTTGTGGCTTTATCTAGAAGATACAAATTTGATGTCTTTCTTCAAAAGGACTGAGAAATAGAGGAAACATTAAAAAAGGCTGAAGCAGCTCTTTGGAGGCTGAGTGTGTGCTGTCTTCATGATCCACAAAGATTATCTGCAGTAAGTGTGCCAAATATTAAAAAACAAACAAACAACAAGTGAACAACCAGAACTTAATTCTTAGTAGGTGTGAAAGTGGATTTAGATGTTATTTCCTGGGCTATACTGCTATGCTGTTTGTATTCATCCTGAGCAATATAAAGGCCATCTGCAAAGTGGCTAATCCTACTGTCATTGAACTGAAGCTTTAACTGCATGTAGACCATTTTTCAGATAAGTTGTGCTCCATGTAGCTTCTCTTTCGTAATGATTGTGTGAACTGCTACATTCTGGGAAAGAATGGTTAGGAGAACTAGTGCAAATGAAGATTTTTTTTAAAAAAATCAGAAGAGATCTTCAACTTCTTTTCTGGCTAAGCTGTTTTGACTTCTGAGGAAACTAAATGTTGTCCTGACTAGTGCTATGTTGTGTGGGACAAGATCTGTGTCAAAAAACAGGACTGTGACAGGTGCATCACAGATGCTATCTAACATGGAGAAGAAATAGATTCAATTCTGAAAAAATAAACTACTGAGAATTGCCTGGGCATGTGAACGCTGTAGAGATGCCAACCTAGATCTTGCTCTCATTTCCTAAATGAGCCCCAAATCAGAGCTATCCAAGTTTTCATTGAAACATCAGGACTCCCACTTTCCATAATTGCAGATAGTTGAAAAAAATGGAAAGATGCAGTAAGATAGGCACAACTGCACAGCACCCTGGGGAATCTGAGAAATGGTGCTGCAAAGTGTTGAAATGGAACCTTCTTACCAGCTCTCTGGGCATGCACTCCAAAATTCTCTAACAGCTGCTCATACTTGCTGTGGCAAATTTATGTTTAGGTTTTATGTTTAAGACCTTTGATTCACACCTAGTGGAGTGCATTTAATGTTACTCTGTATGCCCACAAGGGTAAAGCCCAGCTGTAAACTATCCATGCTACTAGCTTTCCCTGAATGCTTCACAATGTGTGGGAGCAGACCAACTTTACCTGAACTTTTGGAGGCATGTTCTCATACCTGCCTCATCCTTGTGCTGCTTCAGCCTAGCCTGAACTGAAAAATCATTTCCAATTGTGCCATGTACACCTGATGCTTATACTCCTCAACAGAGAAATAATCTGCTATTTGGCTTAATAAAAGAGAATCTTGTTCTCTTGCACAACATGCAAGCTTCTTGAAGCTCCATGTATATGTGTTATGCTGGATCACCAGCATACATGATTC